GGGCAACTGGGTTATTGGGTGACAGCAATAGAGTGTATGCCTTATATCCGTGAAAAACTTCGTAAGCCAAGTACACAAATTTGCACAAATTAGTAAAGTTCAGTAAGCCGTAGACTTACAAAACTTTGCACTAATTTTTTTTTTCCACGCACATAGTTATAGTATGCGCTCTAAACCATAGACCTAGTACACAAACGTTGCGCTATTTTGTACAATTTTGATAGTTATTTTTGTCACGCGTATAGTTATAGTATGCGCTCTATTATGTGTAGCCCTCTTAAAACAAACTTAGTGCATCGATTGATGATTAATATTCTTTATTTGTATTTATTTTACAGCTGGTTTTCGGGAGTGAGATTCTTCTTTTAGCTCTCATACGACAAGTAAGTAGAATTATCTTAAAAACTTGCGGTTCAGCTTATTATTCCACATTTCGCTACAGGAAATGACGTCAAGTGAAACCAAGTTTTCCAAAAGTAATGATCTTCAATAATGTTTCGTTTTCATTCTAGTTTTTTTTTTTTTTTTTGGACCCAGAAATACTTTATGACTTAATTAAAAGCTCTATTTGATCACCTTAAGTGTTAGTCTGGGTTGGCCTTACCTAAATTGAGGACGTGATCGGGAACCAATCCCATGAAAGATCACACTTAAGTTATTACGTTTATCAAGTTTTGGGATGTTTGGGCAAAAACAGACCAATTTCAAGGCTGTTTAAGGCAAATCGTAAATAGGAGGGAATGTATGGTTTTTGGGGATGCTGTCATTGAAACACATATGCTCTCTTATTTTTGCAACTTTGAAAGCTTGCTACTCAGTTAAGTATTCATCCAAACGTGCTCACACTCAATATTAGTGCCAATATTAGTATGACCTTTTTTGTGCTGGGAAACATTTCTTAATATTAATATAAATCCTGAGCCCCAGTCCCTTATTTATTGATATTAGCATTAACATGCAAACTGTTTAGCAACAAGCTGCACGCTGAAATAGGTTTTTCGCTGCCGTTAGTCAAAAATATGAAAGCATCGGCTGATTAGGTTTGATTTACGAGGGCAGCGAGAAAAAAAAAATTTCAGCGTGCAGCTTGTAGCTACCGAGCTCACATTTTTTGMAAATGGCAATAATTCTGGAAAGGCTCACTCAATGACACTTCTCTCTCTTGTATATAGGTACTTTTTTTTACTAAGTCAAACAATAGCTTTCTGATTGATAATGTATGTTCAGTTTATAGAAAGCCATTCAGAGTTTCAGTCAGAAGACACCCCACCAGGTGCTCTACCGGAAGTTATTGAATCACTTATCAAAAAGAAAGTCACTAAGGACATCCTTGGTAAGATACTGCAGGAGATTACTGTGCTATGTACCGTACCTTGAACAATTCTGCACGTTTTTTCTTTTTGACAATTTTTAATCGTGCTTGTAAGCCTTTACACAACATTTTCAGATTTGAGTCTTTAAATAGTGAATAGCTGATTGTGAAAATAATTTGTTATTTCCAATATGTTAATGACTATGACGTAACATTCAAATGACGAAATATTTTCATAATCAACTCACCACTATCTAAAGAATCAATTCTGAAAATATTGTGCAAAGGCTTATAAGTATATGTAATAGGACTCCATGCTGTCCAATTAAGAAATAATTGGACGAGGAAAATTCCGAGGACCGACATAATTGGATGAGGCCATAGGCCGAGTCCAATTTGGCAGTCAGAGGAATTTTTCGAGTATAATTATTTCTTGATTGGGGAGCATGAAATCCCATTACCTATTAATTATATAGCTGCCTAATTAATCCCATATCAACAAGACCTGTCCATTTAAGAAAATAATTGGACAGTTACCTATATGGGATTAATGAGAAGCTGTATAATTAGCACTTTAATTGTGCTCCTTGTCGCAAACCAATAAGGTATCAGTGCTTTACTTTGATGTTTAGACAGGCATAGTTTGTGCGTCGATGTAATGATATCACACAATGAAGTGAAGCAGTGATGCCTAAGGGAACAGTCATTATTTAAGTCGGGGGGGGGGGGGGGGGAGTGGAGGAGAAAATGGCAGGCCCCCAATTTTTTTTATTGGAACATGGGGGGCCTTAAAAGGTCAAAAGGTAAACAATTTTTCCTCCAACCCCCACCCCCCTCCCCTCCGACTTAAATAATGACTGGTCCCTACTTGGATAGCGCAAGCACAATTAAAAATGTCATGAGAAATACAGTATACCACGATTTTATGAGAAATCCAATAGTAACTTGTAACTTAGCCAATCAAAATCCACAAAAAGGGCCGTATGTTAGATAACTGTAACTGGTAAATACGCTTCCCACTATAGAATGAGAATGTTTTTATTGTTAGTATTGATTTGCAGTGCTCAATACCAAGGTCGTGCATTTTTTCTTTCTTTTTGAAATATAGACCCCTTGCACGTGACGTCAAAGGAGCTCAATTTGTAGGATAAAAGATAACAATTTCCTGAGAATTGGGCACCTTTTGTTATGTCCTTCAAATTGAGTTGCATTCCCACGTGTTGCAAGGGGTGTATTAATGAATTACCATGTTGTGTAAATGGTTATGTTTTAAACTATATGAATGTATGTTCTATAAGTGATGTAATGATGTTCTGATTTTAGACTCATCGTCGTCCTGCTGTATATGTCAGAATGATTACGCACTCGATGAGATGATCACGTGTTTACCCTGTAACCACGTCTACCATGGTCCCTGTATCACCACGTGGTTGAAAATGGTAAGTCTAGAGATCTCTTTACTTTATGCATGTATGTGTACCGTAATGTTTACCCTGTAACCACGTCCACCATGGTCCCTGTATCACCACGTGGTTGAAAATGGTAAGTC